TGTATTCATTATCCGGTGATCTATTGGATCATAATGGTCAACGCTAACTTGAACTATTTACATTTCAGCGTATTTACAGGGGGGAATGTTATTGTCTACCATGAAATACAAGGCCAAAACTGAAATTCGGGAAACCTACTTGGGTATAATCAGTTACGGGATCTCGGCAGTTGGCGATATTTTTAATCCTTCATATTTGGAGAAGGATTCATTAGAACAATTGTTAGTCGTTTGACTGCAAACTTCACGCCTGATATATTAAGACCAAACATAAATAAACTCAAGATCTAACACCTTGCCACTTTTGTATTAATACATGATACAAATTATACATGTAATGGCACCCAAACAATTTCAATTCTTTAATCAAATACAGAATTTACATTCATATTATAAATGATATATTTATATTCGTAAAATCCCATTTATATTCATAAAACGTCCAAATGATATTTGTAAACTTCCATTAGTATTCGTAAAAACTTTATCTGTATTTGTAAACTTTCCATTCATATACAATTCGGTTTTGTTAAAATTGCATTTATATTCGTTAAACATATATTTGTATTCATGAAACATATAATTGTATTTGTGAAAAAAATTGATAAGTGAGCATTGAGATTGCTACTTTGGTAGAAATATATATTCGTATTTGTAAATACTTTATTTATATTCGTCAACATTCATAGACCACTTTCCCGTAAGTATCGAGGCTGGGGTGCAGACATACACCTGATTTGTCAAAATACACAGATGTCAGTTTGTTTGATGCAGATTGATGGAATATTACTGAGTGTTAATCATTGCATCACACACTGAACCCCAGATCGGTGACAATCATCACCGGTGGCGCAAGAGGGCGACTGCAAGAGACAAACAACTCTCGTTTGTTTCACAGTAATCCGGTATTCGCCGGTTATTCACTCACATAATTCCAATAAAAAAAAGTGTACGCATGTATATTTTCTAGCAACCCCCCATTATTTAAAATGTTTGACCTCTTAGGAAAGGAAATAACAAACTGACGACCAGTTACGTGTTAGTTTCCACAAAGACTATAGAGAAGAAACTAGTAATCTTCTCTATAGTCCTTTGGTTTCCATAACATTATTTATCTTTACACCTCGAAATGATTGACAGACCACAGTATAAACAAATGTAATTTCTTTCTTTCCACCCACGAATCTCTTACGTAACCAAGGCTTGTCATCAACAGTTTATTTGATATTTACGTTATGGATTTACAACTACCGACTTTATGCAAATTTTAATCATTGTTGAAGTAACTTGTGTTTAATTTTATTCGTGTGGTCACACATGTCCGCATGATTTCCTGTAGAACTTTAATTAATCACGTGAGTTCACTTTCTCGGGGCAGGTGACCAGATCAGCCGAGGCTAAGCGGGGGGGGGGGGGGTAAGAAACATATAAAAAGAGTTCATCTCACTGGTACGATCACAGTATTCTTTGGTTCACCCACAGTCCCTCTAAAAAATTATGTGAAAAAGTACGAATTCTGGAATAAACAACTAAGTTGTAAAAAAAAAATACATAACACTGACGATGTCAAATCACGTACTGATCACGTGACAATGATTTGCCCACACCCGCAAGCGCCTTTGCCAGGGAAGGAGACCAATTCACAACTAATACAATGACCGTTTCTAGACCGGGGATAGAGGGACTGTGCATGAAGGCGCGACAATGTCATATAAATCATTATCGGATAATTATCGTCTAATAAAATCTAATGAAATTCTGGCAGAGATGTCTAACTTAGACATTTTTAGACGATATTATCGATAATATCGGAGAAAACGAACTGTCCCAATAGTTGCCCAGACAGACCTGTCTAACTTAGACATTATTAGACATTGTTAGACGATATTATCGATAATATCGGAGAAAAACGAACTGTCGCCATAGTTGACCAGACAGACCTGTCTAACTTAGACATTTTTAGACATTGTTAGACGATATTATCGATAATATCGGAGAAAAACGAACTCTCCCGA